CTGGATGTGTGTTTCCTGGACTGGGCCGCCTGTGGAGCTGGTTGACAGTTGCCTTTTGTATCTTAAGATGCCGTGAGATGATATTTGTTGGGAATTGGCGCTATAGAAATAAACTGAACATAAATGAATAAAAAAAAACAGCTGTGAGGTTCACCTTCATCACACTCTGAATCCTCCAGGCAGAAACTTGCTTTGTGTCCTTCTGCCACTCTGGTTCCATTCAGGCTCAGCAGGTCATAGGTGGTGAACACATCCATGCTGTGATAATGCCTGCAACCATCCACACAGACGTTACAGAGCTCAGGTTTACACAGAACCCAGCAGAACATCGTCGTGTCCTTTAAACTATGCGTACAGACCTGTGACAGTCATGCCACACCCACAGGTGTTTGGGAGCGTTGGGCTGGAAGTCGGACTGGCCGTTGTTGTGAATCTGAGAGGAGAAGCGCAGCAGGCGTCGGTACGAGTTGGCCGGCGTCTGGGCGGAGTTGGAGGCCAGGCAGTTCTCCTCATAGGCGCACTGCAGCAAGACCATGAGCCGGTCCTCCATGTAGGTGGTCTGCTCCACCACCTGAGGGTTCAACACCAGGTCAGGAGCGGCTAATGGATGAAAACAGAGAGCAAACAAAGAAAATTAACCTTTTCTGTTCAAACGGGATCAGAAGAACGAAGGAGATTCAGTTTGGAGGAAGAACCTCCCTGACGCATTTTCTTTATTAGTCTCCTTCCTGCAGGGACCTTCAGCTAACACATGGGATGGTGTTTGTTTTCATAACCATTTGATTTAATGTACACTACTCAAAAAATTAAAGGAACACTTTTTAATCAGAGTATAGAATCAAATTAATTAAACTTCTGGGATATGGATTTGGTCTGGTCAGTAGCAGAGGGGGTTGTTAATCAGTTTCAGCTGCTTTGGTGTTAATTCAATTACCAACAGGTGCACTAGATGGGCAACAACGAGACGACCATCAAAACAGCAATGGTTTTACAGGTGGAGGCCACTGACATTTTTCCCCCTCCTCATCTTTTCTGGCTCTTTTTCACCAGTTTAGCATTTGGCTAGGGTCACTGTCACTACTGTTAGCATGAGGC